CAAAAGGGGAGGTGGGTGTTAAGACTACAAAACGCCAGACAGGATGCTTTTCTAGACCTTTGGCTTTGGAGCCTGGCAGAGGAGTGGGCTTCCCTGACTGTGGCAAGCAAACCTAGAGTCATGGGCCAGCGTCTCCAGCACCTCTGGGCAAACCGGCAGCTCTCTTACACATGGGCACTCTTTGCATGAGTGGGAGAGCTGGAGCCGGAAGAGTAGTAGAAACGGTTTTCACCAAATGACTGGGCATCTCCAGAGCAGCAGACGATGACACAGCCACCCACGAGGCACAGCACAGCACCAATCCAGCCCGCGTACAGGGAGTAGCCAAAGCTCACGATGGTGGTCTCACGGTGGGCGCACACAGGAAACCAGATGGTGGCGACCATGGCACAGAGAGCTGGGGAGACATGGAGAGGCTGTGACTGGGCATGTGCATCGCACAGCACATGCAGGCGCAGCAGGCAGGCCCCCTTTGCTACACACACACACATCTCTGGCTTCCAACCGACTCCAAACACTGGATACTCACAGCTCTACTCCCTCAGCAATCTGAACCTAAAGGTTTACAGCTATAGAATAAGCTAATCAAAACCTTGTGTCAAACTGCAAGCTCCTTGTTTTTTCAACAGGTGGCAGACACAAAAGAACTCCAATGTAAAAACCTGGAAATAAATCATTTAAGTCCAAAAAATATGTATTTGTGTTTACTTATATATCTATAGTTATTATTCTATTGTTACACTTACCTAATTGTATTATAATTATCTCTTTACAGGTCTATGTCCCATTCCAAGTTCTGAGCCCCTTGCAGGCAGGAGCCATGTCTTACTTATATTTGTAAAGTTGATGTGTAGCTCAGCCGGAAGCACATAGTATGTGCCCTATGTCTACCAGCTGAATGATCTATTCAGAAATGAGAAACAAGATGGCTTTCACTCTATCTTTTCCATTTAGTCAATTCACATTACAAAGACCTGAAGAAGGTATGAAAATTTCCTTGCTGTGAATAATGCTAGAATCAGTGGAGTATCAGCTAAGAGTCTGAGCTTGTTTTGTGCTGTTCACAATCACAACATCTCAACATATGAAAGAACAGTTCTCAGAGTAAAAGAATTTACCCATTTAAGGGTTTTATGGTGATGATATTTGTTGTGATGGGTCCCAATGGTAGAACTTTGTGATCTTACACCAACCAGTCTAAATTTCAGATCTGGTTTTGATTTTAAAGATTAAGATAAGAAATATCCTCTATATCATGTAGTTCTTCTAGTCCTCCTAAACAGAATAACAAAATAAGGGCAAACAGGAGCCTATGAAGACTTAAAAATTTTTCTTAAACCTACATCTGCAATGGAGCTAGGGGGTATTATGTTCAGTGAAATAAG